AATCGGCACCGAAAATCACTGCATATTTTCTTACACTACATAGTTTATTTTCATTGCAAAATTAAAAATTTTTACTATGGAACAACTCTGATAAATGAGCGTCGAATAAAAAACTATATACCAGTAGAAAGGAAGTGTTTCTCTGCTGTAGGAAGGGAGAGACGATAAACGCACCGTCAATATTTAACGCACGCGTGCAAGATCCTCCCGGTATTACCAGCGTGACTGAGACCAACACCGCCATATAAGAAGGCACTATTTGATCTAGGAACAGAGGCAACGCTTCGTTGGCTAGTGAGTTCACCAGTAATAGAGTCACCAGTAGGAGGTGGTGACGCGAAATTAGGGGATGTCTAACACGCGAAAGTGCAGTTTCGGAACTACATGTGTTGGTGGTGATGATGACAATATGAAAATTTTGAGAGGAAATTTTGGGAAATTCTTGTTGATATCAATACATTTCTACCCGAAATCTATAATTAGTTTTGGAAACTCCTGAGCTCAGCTGAGGGAAGCGGATATATATTCCCTTCACGACAAATTCATGCAGTTTCACCACCCTAGTGATATGAAAAACACTAGTGAAAAAATACATTTCACAACTACTGTATATCACCGCGAATATCACGCCACTTCACGTGAGACTCCAATGATTATATTACAATCTAACAGCAGCTCGCTTCTCCTTCCTCATCTCAGCCTTATCGGCTGGGTCAGGAACGTCTTCTTCGCTCGACTCCATCAGTATCCTCAGATCAAAGTCATCTAGTGAGACCAACCCCATAGTGAGACCAGACGCCAGCGCTGCACAGATCTGACAGGATGTGATCGAGGTGTGGTATGGGAGAGCGCTATTGATTATTAATACCACGCATATAACGGTCATGATAGTGTTGAATACATAGTGCGAATGATCCAGAATTTTGGGTCCTTCGAAACTGATGTTGTTGTAGACTATCTCGTTAGTCGTGGGGTTGAACTTTGCCGTAACAGTCTGCCAGTCAGCCTCGGTCGGGGCTGCAGAAACTACGGTTAGGATAAGAGGAATGAAGATTAAGAGGGGAAGGCGAGTCATTGATGAGAACAATACACAACTCTATCCGATCGCCCATCGTGTCACACCTTCCCATACTCTGAGTACAGTTCACCATGGAAAGTCATCAATAAAGGTTAACTTGTTAACCTAAATTAAATACGGATGGTTGCATCGCTTCGCTAGTTATTCATACTGCGGTAATGAAACCGTGAGGCGAGCGGATCCCCCCGTGCCTGCCGGCGGACGGCGTTGAATAGCCGAGAAAAGAGAGGGATTATAATCCCGGGAGAGGGTACCGAAGAAGGTGCAGACACGCACTGTTGTCGGCACACTCACTGAGTGTCAGTGACACTGTGTCACTCAGACGCTGTGTCTCTGAGTGTCTTTCTCTTACCGATACTTCTAGGGTCGGCTCGTACCGAGCCGCCCTACCAGGCCCACGCGACCGGGAGTGGGATATTTAACACTCACGTTAGGAATCTCGCACATGACGCGCTGACTCAAGTCGTGACAGGAAATTACGGCATTGGCAAGCGGAGCGAAGCATTCTCCTGCGCGATATACTTAGCGTACGCCCAATAATAAACGGATAAATTTTAACCGCTTTTATTTCTATCACACTATTTAGGCCAGGTAGCGATCTTCAGCACAAAATTGAAGTCCATCATTATCTTTCTCCTGCCGAAGTGTTCTGCGTATATCGGGGTCCACGTAATCTTCCTCCCGAAATGATCTCCAGTGACGACGGCGAGCTGTGTTGTGCAGTGTGACGCATTTGGTTATGATCCTCGGTGCCTGGTCACGATCGAAACCCGTAACTCACTATGCAAACAACGGAGCCACGATTGCAATACGCCGAATCCTTGCTCGCAGAATAATCTCGTAGAAGAGTGACACATATTGAAGACTGCCATCACTTCATCACCGAGAGCAGGTCCAGCAGCACGGGAGTTGGGAGTCAGCTGGTCCTTTCCTGAGGGAAGCCTGGCCAATTGAGGAGTGCGGCGAGGGAACCTTATTTTCTGCCAGTCCCTTTGGGGCCGCTACAGATAAAGTGACTGTGTCCCGCAGGACCTTGCAACCAGCGTCGATTTATACCCTGGTCCGCGGGCGCATACAACACTACTTGATTGGTGCACCCCCAGCTATCATTAAAACTGGTGCCGGGTTAGCTAATCTACTCTATGAAACGATCATAGCTATTGGTATCGGTACCGAGTTCATTAAAGGGTTTTGTGTCAGCCTCTCTACGGACGGAGAATACTTGAATTTGCGTTTTGGTGGTGACAGGTTCGCAGATATCATCGGAATAGCACCTCCCTGTGTCACAAGGTCTGTGAGCAAGTCGTCACAACTTAACCATGGTTGGGACGTCGCTCATCGGTTGGAACTCTGTCACGCGGACGTCCTCAAACTCATTGATATTAGGACCCGCTTGCATGACGAAATACTGCCAAAACATAGTGCAGGATATGAACGTGTTCGGGAGGCGGCAGAAGAGCTAGGGGTGCGCCGCACCCGGTGCAGTAGTACTATGCACCAGTGTCTTAGTGTAGAACTCGTTGCCAACGAGTTCTACAGTAAGACCAGCGAGTGCTCCTCCGAGTACCGGGTACTGCTCAACTCCGAACATAATCTCAAGGCTATCTTCAACTATCCTACGTTGTAGTAGGAGTATCGAAGGTGTTCTTCCATCGTGGACCTGTTGTTGCTACATCTGTTTACACTTGTTGTTGAACAACAACAACATTCCACGACTTATTCAAAATAAGTCAACACCCACTACGTACCAACTGCTGCTTTCAACAACTTCCTTCTGAGTGTGGCATTGTATGAATTATTCATAATGAATATCATTCACGACATCATTTTTTCGTGCAAACTGCATGAAATTGTGGAGTATTGCACGCGCTGACCGTCGAACTTGATGTGGGAGTGATAGCTTGCTTGGCCATGCACGGCCAAGCCAGGAGAGATGTCTAACGTAGTCAGAATACAAAAAAGGCCCGCGATATTCTCAATAAGTTGCCTTTTTTTGGGCTACATACGTTGGGCCCGAAAGCTACATACGTTCGGCCCGAACAGCCGCGCACAATGAATCTTGCTATTCACATGAATCGCACAAGACAGGATCTTCGATAGGAATCAGAATAATTACTAAATTGACTCTTTCCGAGTAGAGAGTCCCTCATCTGTATTAACCGTATATGGATATATCCACTCTGACCGGATACTATCAGCTCAGTGCGAATAAACCATTAATGTGTTCGTTAAGCTGCGGCTGTGCGCAAACTGTGCGCAAACTGTGCGTGGGACGGGTGCACTAGCCTTAAGCGAGTGGATGCCTTAGTCACCTGTGGCATCAGAGAGTTTCGTCGATAGTCTAACTGATCATTGCAAGGTCGCTCAGCTGTATTCCTATTCAGCTTTCTGACACTTACTTTCTTTATCTCGTCATGGACATCGATTCTACCATTAATAACATCACCGTGCCCGAAGATGTGTTCAATCCCTTTCGAAGTCAAGATCCTCCTTTAGCTTCGGGTGATGCTATCTCATCTTGTTGGTCGAAGGGTGAGCGGCTGTTCGGGCTCGAAAGAAAAAATTCTTTCAAGCGGAAATTTCCCGAAATTTCGGGAAAAATAGAAGTGGTCGAAATTTCCGGAAATTTCGGGCGAGGTCGTGGGTTCGATCCGCGGCTCCGCCAGTTTTCCATTCTTCGCCAATCCACGCGCGAGTCCGAAGAGGGAACGTACGGAAGCCACAAACGACCCACTCCTCGAATGCTTATGCGCATTGCAAAGCACGACGCAAGACAACTCGTGAGGTATTGATGCAACATTCAATGTTGCTACAGGAAGAAGTGGCAATAGAGGATCACTGCTAGTGGCCCACTAGTATCGAAAAAGGGCGTTTCACGCAAGTGTGGATGATTTCGGAACGGCCTTCCCACCGTTATCCTGAAAGTTGCTGATTAACGTGTGATGGTGTGGCAGATTGCCACCGGCAGTCGATCGCTCGCTCTGGGAGTGTCGGAAAATTGTTGATGTGCTCTTTTTTTGCCAGGATATTACACTGTCGCGGTGCAAACTGCCTACGGAACACGTGTCCGTCGGAAACTTTCCGAGTTTTCCAGTTCTATGGTTCTCTGAGTTTTTCGAATTCCATGGTCTCTCCTCATTTCTCTTTTCCACCAGGGTGGTGGCACGCATGAATGCACGCATACCCAGAGCCTATGGGTATGCGTGCATTGACCGGTATGGGCGCGTGACCTGTGGGCCATAGGTCTTAAGCTCTGAATGACGTATCCGTATACATCTGCACTAGGCCATCTTGTACGATACCTGGTTATGGTATCACCGTTTTGTACGAGAGTCAGTGCAGTACTGGGTGATGACTCACTAGGTGACTCTTGCAGAAAAAAATTAGAGTTACACTCACTCTGTCTAGACGCTGGGCACGCTCTCATTGCTCATACCCAGACATAACGGTGCCACTGTCAGCCGATTGTGGAAGGTCTCGATGCAGCGGGCGTCGGTTCTTAGTGCAGTGGTTTATAGAACCGTAAACGCCATCCTTAACCTACCCAGGGGCGCGTTTTCCGCGCCGCCAACTTGGCGGCCAACGCACCTGTAGAACACCGCGCGCAGCGCGGAGCGAAACGATACATATTGTGCCAAATTTCCGGAAATTTCAGGAAATTTCAACGGAAATTTCGAGGAAAGAATTTGGCCCAATTCTTTCGCGATTTGAACAACCCTGGGTGAGCCCTCAGCATTTCAAAGTCGATTGTGAGTTTCCTTGTATCGTAGGGTCACGTGAAGATGATGATGATACCATTAATAGCATCACCGTGGCCGAAGATATGTTCATTCCTTTTCGAAGGCAAGATCCTCCTTTAGCTTCGCCGAAGCTGCTTCGGGTGATGCTATCTCATCTTGTTGGTCGAAGAGTGAGCCCCCAGCATTTCAAAGTCGATTGTGAGTTTCCTTGTACTCTGTGCGGGATACCTCACAAATTTTCACCCGAGCGGGAAGGGCCCCGCGAGGGTCTAGGCCGAGCGCGGGTGGTCTCTGCCACCGGAAACTATCTTGTACGATTCACTGCACACTGCTCAAGTTTCCACTACTTAGAAGATGTTGAGTTGTCTAAAAAAGTAGCCCTATGACATACATCACTTATTTTTGTAATTTGAGTATTGAACGAAACCGATGTACAGTATATCTGTTTACAAAGATATATTATGTATCTAATAGTACGGAATAATGGCGTCAGAAATTACTTATGTAGACATGTCGCACCGAAGGAGACACGAGTCTGCTCAGCTAATGTGTGATGTGCTTTTCAGTTATACTTTCAGCCCCATATGCGTTTCACGATTCCTCTTCGAAAACTCCATTGAATAGAGTCCATTACCTGCCGTATTCGTAAAGCGAATTTGTATAGTCTGATGCTCACGTCTACAACGCAATGTATTCGCAACGCGGGTATTCAACTAGTATCAACGGATTTCCACCCAAGTGATATGAAAAACACTAATGGAAAACATATTTCACGATTCACTTTGCGGAAAACAATCGTATCATCGGTTTTCGCGGAAATATAACAACACGAAGTATTACGCCACTTCACGTCAAACGGGTGAAACTCCATCATCATATTTCCTACCAGGTAGATGTATTAAAATATATTATATATTTTTACTATAAAATATACAAATATTATGGTATAATATCTCGTAGGTATCAAAGTAAATGGTTGACCCATGAGGGTATTGGGAAATTTTGAAAAAAATTTACTATTTTCTGGACACTTTTACCCGAATTCGTACGGAAATTCCTCGGAAATTTTGATAAATTCTTACTATTTTTCGTACATTCATACCCAAATTCGCCCAATTTTTCTTGTAAAAATATTTTACTTGAAATATCACTTAGTGTCTTTTTTTTATCAACAGGAACATACGTTCATTGGAGTCCCATCCGCTTTACGTGGTGTAGCATAATACTCCACGATTTTCGCAGCAGTCGTTTAGTATAATTTTTTCACTAGTATTTTTCATATCATCACTAGGGCGGTGAAACTCTATTGTGTCTCCACCTGCCCCCATAGTTGGAATATAATACAAATTTTTTTTATAGGATTTCCTCGATAATGATCAAGTTCGCACTGCAGCTATTCACGGCTGGATGCTATTTTGGACTACTGTTGATTTTTCTTGGTAATAATCGTACCTGCTTTGAATCTTCGCGTGCGACGTGGATCTTCGGTGACAATATAGAAAAAAATGTGAGGAAATTTTCTGGTGAATTCTTATTGGTTTCTGTACAGTCCTATCTGAATTCGTATAAAGTTTTTGGTAAACTGTTTTTGGTTTTTGTACACTTCTACCCGAATTTCCATGTAAGTGAGAAAATTCCTGAGCTCAGCTGAGGAAATCAAATATATATTCCTCCAGCTCTGGAGTTCCACAACCCGTTTTACGTGAAGTGGCGTAATAATACTCTGTGAAAAACGCGATATTCGCGGTGATATGCAGTAGTCGTGAAATATATTCCACATATCACTAAGGTGAAAGTCCACTGTTATCAGGTGTAGGAATCTTGAATCTTGGGTGTGCGTACAAAGTAGCCCCGATGGATCTTCAGACGTACCTCCCCGCGTTATATGCCCATTTTGCCAAGACCGATTTCATGAAGGTAAAAATTTTGTCACTCGCCACGAAATTATTTTTTCAGAGTGCTATGAAGTTGTGTGGAATTGCTACTGTGCCACAGTTGATGAAGATCTTAGGCTATGTTCATATCGGTAGTGTAATGAGCCTCTTTTTCCAGCCAGTGTTGGGAGCAATGTGGACGCTTATGTGGGTGGTTGGTGAAGAGTAGGTCCCGGGTTCGAATCCCAGCGAGGGTATTTTCTCCGATCGAAAATTTACAAAACAACTGTTAGTCAGAATTCAATGAGCTCATATATGCATTGCATGAAATTTTGGGATAATTTATCTCAAATTTTTATTTTTACAATTGAGTTTCACCACCCTAGTGATATCACGACTACTGCGAATATCACCGCGAATATCGGGTTTTTTCACAGAGTATTATTACGCCACTTCACGTGAAACGAATGATATGAAAAACACTAGCAAGGACATATTTCACAACTCTTTGCGTATCGTCGCTATTGCAAGATACGTTTCGTATGAAGCCGTAAAGCTTCCTGGTATGCCTAACTCCGTTCTCTGTGGTGGAGTTTCTCCAACGTGTATCGCGACAATAGGCCTGCATATCGCAGTTGCTATTATGTCTATCATGGTAAGAAGTGTTGTAATCTAATGTATATAATCAACCATTTACTAAGTGGTGAATAGTTGGTGAATACCAACCATTCACCAACTATTCACTAAGATCACTCTCGTTGAACTCAACATGTAGGGGGAGTCCGTTGAAGTGGCTGTGCGTAACCACGCGAGAATAAGGCAAACGAATGCTGGAATGATTTCAGAGTGTTATTCATACACTAGTCACGACAACAATAGAGTTTTACGACGCGTTTGATGTTAAGTGGCGTAAAACTCCGTGAAGAACGCGATGTTTTTCATATCACTAGGGTGAAAAACACTAGTGAAAAATACATTTCACGACTACTGCATACCACCGCGAATAATATCGCGTTTTTCACCACATCACGTAAAACGGGTCGTGAAACTCAATTGTTACAATTTTGCATGATTTTGCGCTTCCCAGAAAGATGTGGGAAAATTCGCAAATAGCCGACCACATATGTTGGTGAGGAAATTTTGCAAAATTCTTGTTGGTTTTCTGTACATTTCTACCCTAGTTCGTATATGAACTCCTTAATGAGGAACTCCTAGTCCAGCTGAGGAAAGCGATTACATATATATTACAACACTGCTTGGCTCAGTCATTTTCACTGGTACACCTATATGCAGCTACTGTGTGAGTATTCGGAAATAAAAAACGGAAAAATCCGAGTAGCACGTAAAAAATGTGAAATTTTTCCCTTTTTTTCCGCTGTAACGTCGAGCTTTAGCAAAATTTTCGGAAAATTGTTTCACCCTGGGAATCGCCATTGTTGAGTTTTGGGGTTGAAATTGATGGAGAGAAATTTTGTCTTAAAATTCCGATTGATAAAAGCTTAGGTGGCGTAATATTGGAGTTTCACCCCCTAGTGATATGAAAAACACATTTCACGACTACTGCATATCACCGCGAATATCGCGTTCTTCACCGAGTTTTACGCCACCCCACTGTATGTGAAAAACGCGATATGAAGTGAATTGAAAACACTTGGCGAATCACCCCATATCACGTGAAATACATACCACGTGTTTTACGCGTTATTCACCAACGAAGTAGAATGTGAAATATGTTTTTCATATCACTAGGGTGGTGAAACTCTAATACTATAATTTTGTTATACTCCATATACAAAATGTTGCACTGATTGACGATACGTATACATAATTGGTTGATATTACGGTGGAGTTTCACGACCCGTTTTACGTTAAGTGGCGTGATATTCCATGAAAAACGCGATATTCGCGGTAATATGCAGTAGTCGTGAAATATATTTTTCACTAGTGTTTTACATATCACTAGGGTGGTGAAACTTCACTGTTGTTATTTTTATTTTCTTTTTCGTGTTTATTATTACATCACTGACTTCTCAAAATGGAGAAACGGATTTCGAATCTTTCATGAGCAGTTTGCATCACATGGTCAACTACTGCATCTGTCGGTGACATTATGAAAATTGTGTGGGAAATTTTTAGGAAATTTTAGAAAATTTTGAGGAATTTCGGGAAATTTTGGGAAATTTCATTGGTTTATAAACATTTCTACCCGAATGTATATATAAACTCTTACAATTTCTGAGCTCAGGTGAGGAAAGCTAACATATTCCTATTCCAACACTGACGGCACTGGTTAGTTTCATCATAGTATGGGCGAAAATATGCAAATGGTCAGCTACACTTGTCAACGACAATATGAAAATTCTGGGAGGAAATTCTTATGGACTGCTGCACTATCTCGTTAAAGTAGGCGTAGTTGTAGAACACAACATAAGTAGATTGGGCTCATGGTAAATGAGCTAGAGCAGATGAAAAGTGAAAAGTAGCCGAGAGAATGCAGTGATGATGCGAAGCTAGTGTGAGCACAGCTCGATTGTGTAATGTAGACAGTGCAGATTCCCCTCTTCTCATTCTTATTTGGGTAGAAGTGTATGTTCACTTCTACCGAAATTCCTATATAAACTTCTATAATTAGTTTTGGAAGCTCCTGAGCTCAGGTGAGGGAAGCGAACATATATTCCTACTCCGACACTGCACAACCTTATGACGAATGAATATGATAACTGCGATCAGTGAATTCTCAGCGTTAAAATTTACCTTTTTATTTTCGTTAGTTCATATATTCATCCACTCCATGACCGAACAACAATTTGAATATATGGAAAAAGGCGGAGCGAAGCAGGAGGTCGAAAAAGAGTGTCGTCAGTGGTAGTAATTTTCATGAAATTTTTATGAAGGAATAATCTCAATTAGGTATCTCGTGTGTCAATTTTGTCAAATGCCTGTCGTTGGAAAAGAGCAGATTATTCGGGAAAGGTAGAAGTAGTTTATTGGACTCTCACCACCCTAGTGATATGAAAAACATATTTCACGACGACTGCATATCACCGCAAATGTCGCGCCTTTTTCACCGAGTATTATTACGCCACTTCGCGTAAAACGGGTTGAAAACTCCATAGTTACACCCCGCGAAATTTCTCTTTATTTTTCACCACCCTGTAGTATAGTGAATCTTGATTAATATATATACTCAATTTTTCTGTGTATGTGAAAATGGTAAATTGGAAAAAAAATATTTTTTTTCACGAAGTAGTGTTTTGGGTTAAAATTCCCACAAGGCTGAGGTGAATGTTGAGTTGCCACATATTACAATAAATCGATCATTTTCGTATATAAAGAAGTAAGCAAACCTCAACGATGTTGGGGGAAAATATGTATATTGCAATCAACTGCATGTGTTGGTGATGAAGATATGAAAATTCTGGGAAGAAATTCTCAATGATTTCTGTATATTTCTAGCCGAATTTGTATGTAAACTTTCACAATTAGTGAGGAAACTCCTGAGCGAACATATATTCCTACTGATCAGGTATGAAAGTATTTATAAGGAAGTTGTATATTCATATGAACTTGACGTGCTGGAGGACTCGGCCTGGTGCTACAGGTGAGACGCCTTTGGCTGTCGGGGGCACAAAATGTGCACATGGTCATCTACATGTGTTGGTGATAATGTGGGAATTTCGGGCAATTCTTGTTGATTTCTGTCAACTTCATAAAGCTGATTACGTATAAATTTCCACATGTGCATATTCTTCCAACCTGGCATGAAGTTCGATTCGTTAACTTCAGCGCTACGAACCCTCATGAGTATCGCTTTGACGTGTGTCGCGCGAGGCCTGCGGAACTCCCACATGGCGGTATTAGAGTCGCCAGTTCGCCCGAGGGGGAATTCAGGTAAATTTATCGCTGGAAAAATATTGATTTTTCGTCTTAGTTGGTTTCCACCGTATCTGTGGATGATGGCGATGTGCAGTACATGCGGCGTGGTAGGGTATATGGGAAACCTGAGCGCGTCCTGGAATACTCATCTGCGTGGAATATGTGGAGTCGCGATTGATACTAAGCAATATGATCATAGAACTGAAAAAGATATCTAACTCGCCGCCTAGCAGTAGGGCGGTATGAAACGGCCTAGTGGGACGGGAAGTCGCCCTCCTCACGTGTTGTATCGGCTGATTGTGACTGAAAATTGACAGTTCATTTGCTGATTAGAAGCTCAAAACACCGCAGCAACTATCCAGGTGTGGTCACTGATGCACATCGTGAAAAACTTCGCTCCGCTGTGACTGAGGGGAGACGATCTTAGCGCCATGGATTTCAAGACGCCCTTCTCACGTGTTGAGTCGATACGCCGATATGCATCACTGGTTAATTCACATTCCATGCTTGCTCGAGTTGCCACTCCGGAGTGGAAAAAGCAAAACCTCCCTTAAAAACTTTCACGACAGAACTAGACTCGTTAATTGAAATTGTTTTGGAAAGCCCTCGGCTTTGCTGGTTGAAACTCGAGAGCAGTATTGGCGTGCTTCGATGGGAAATGTCTAGTTATGAAAGCGCTGGTTCACATCTACGAACTGGTCATTACCGATCAGCACCTCGGTTGGGCGTTCTGTACGGCGGAAGAGGCTGAGAGTCGGCGGCGACGTGACTCGCAGGGGAGCTCATTAGTAGGAAGCTCGCTTTTGTGCGGTCCCGCGAGTAGTTATGTCTTATGCGATTCGTGTGCTCGTTACAAGTCGTTGGCTTGGTGGTTCGCATTAATCGTTTTGTTTATTCGAGGTCGATACACGTCGTGAAACTCGGCAAGATGATGATGATGTGGAAGAAGAACCAACAAGTGATAAATACTGGAACCGAGAATCGAACTCGGGACCTACTGCGTGTTAGGCAGTCGTCATAACCAACTAGACCATTCCAGCGATGATTTTGGTCGCACAAGTCTCCTGTCTCTCAGACCTTGTGCCGGTCATGCCCGCCGTTGGGGAGTCCGCCGACAGCACCGAATCCTCCCACGTGACACCACCCGGCGAGATGTCAGATGGCTTTGTCCAGTCGAACATTGAGGAGGATACCGAAGCTGAAGAGAGCGCATCTGCTGGCCCTGTTCGGGAGCGTTCAGGAGATGATGTGAGTGAAGTAAACTGTCCCGGTAGTTATCTCACATGACGTAGGTGCCTCAGCCTCCAGCCCGTCGACGGCGAGTCAATCGGCTGCGGCGAATTGTCAGTGAAGGAATACGGGGTGAGGGTAAGATGTAGTTTGCTCGTAGTAGATTCTCGTAGACGACTACGATTCATTCGTTGGAGGAATATATGTTCGCTTTCCTCACCTGAGCTTAGGAGTTCCCAAAGTTATTATAGGAGTTTATATACGAATTCGTACGGAAGTGTTTACAATGAAACACATACTATGACAATTCCGAAGCCTGTGTTACATCTGAAATTTTCTCGAAATTTGCATTTTGTCACCGACACATGTAGTTGACCATATGCATATTTTCACATGTTGGTTGGCAACAGACAGATATATTCTCGGTTATTCTGAGTTTCAGATCGGACGCCGCATCCCCCAGTGTCCTTCTACGGGTTGATATTGACGAAGTTGAGAGAACGAGAAATGAAGGAGAGTGACATCTCTGAAGCTGAGCGAACATTCCATGAAAGATTGTGTACCCATTGGACATCTACTTTAATCGGAGGTTTCTGAGAATTCCTTCTCGTTGAGCATCGGGAACAGTTGCCCTTTCGAGAAGGGTCTGTGGAGTGTCGACACTGACCTAGGGTGAAGGATAGACTCGATATGGGAAGGGCGGATCATGCTCGCCAAATCGGCTAAACACAAACAGGAATCTGCATCGAAGTCATTGACACTAGAACGTCGAGCAGAATATCTCGATACCTCCGCATGTTCAGTTCAACATGCGAACCATCGTCCGCTCAGCAGACCTCACTAGTGAGGAAAGATGTTAATATATTCCACCTCTTGTGAGGGGTTCATCTCATCAAGACAACAATGCAACATTGCCATTCGGGGAGAATGAGTTATAAAGGGCTTCCAGGACTCTCATAACAAGAACCCCAAGTGCTTAGCATTGACATGCTCGTGCGCCTCCCAGTATTGAGATTACGAATGGACAACCATGCGTACACATCAAACATCGCGTCAGCTCCAACCCTCGTTGCTCACGACCGAGAATGAGGAATGTGCATCGAAATTGTCTAAGCCGTGTTGTCAGCGTTGGACCTCCAACACTGACACACCGAGATGAGAGGTCAGAAGTTTCAATCTTATATATTTCACTCACGTCTAGGAGCACTGGGCAACAACCACCTCATCTGACCAATCCCAATAATCACTTCTGATTTCCCTGGAGTTCGAAAGGTAATGCACACTTTTCACCCCATGTTTGATCACGATTAAATCGTTCATATTGAGAATCAAAGACGACTTGCCAAAGACAAACACATGTAGGATTACACGACGCAGTTCCTTGCTTGGAAAATACACCAAGAATCGACCTCCTTTTGAATGAGAACTCGTTTCTCTAGTCCAGCAGGTCAGCTGCTCTTGGCGATTTTCTCTCGTCGTCTTTCCAGCGTTTGATAGTAGGGAACTATCAAGGCTCGAGATGGGATACTTTGATAATAATAATAATTATTATCAGACTTTTCACAGCTTCTTGTCGCGATCTTCTTCATCCTAACTGTTGAATTATCTCCCTCTCTAGTTGAACACGTTATATATTCGGATGAGTTTCTTCCATGTGGAACACTCTCAAGTATATCACACCAGGAGCCCGTTCAGTGCCCACCGTTCTGAGTCCCCGATCCGAGTACATCTCTGTCAAGTGCACCGCTCGGAAAGGAGGGTATTCCGAGATGATTGCCCGAGTATTCGGCCCGAGTTCCTACTTCAAAGCCAATCTTCTCACAGTGACCAATTGGACATCTCAGTTCATACCATCCCACTTAACGATCAACTCAGAACCAGTAATTACGAAATCCAAGAAAATAATCACGAAATGAAAACTTCAATCATTCTTTTGTCTCTTATCAATACTCTCAGCACGGCTCGAAGATCCTCTACGCTTTCGAGGAGAAGTCGTCTCCACCAGTGGAGCACAGGCATCCCTCAGCCATGCCAACTCGGCTTCATCTTTGATCTGACAAAGAGAACTGTACACCTGTTGTATTGGTATATTGGAAATAGTGATATATCGTGAAAATAGTGATATGCCACTGTATTAGTATATTGGAAATAGTGATACACTGTGAAAATAGTGATATGCTACTGTATTGGTATATTGAAAATAGTGATACACTGTGAAAATAGTGATATGCTACTGTATTAGTATATTGGAAATAGTGACACACTGTGAAAATAGTGATATGCCACTGTATTGGTAAGTATCCCAAACACATAATCTCGCTACTACAACCTCACAAGACATAAAATAAGGCTACTATAATAACTCGAAAACCAGAGAAAATATATTCGCTGCTACAGAGCTTCTTCAAGTATCAGCATATAATCGAATACCTACCATCCTTCTACCAATTTCATAATACAAATGTAAACTAATAATTATCTCACATTTCCACTTACATGTGGTTCAGCATTGGCAAAAACTCGTGCGTGATACTCATTCAACCACTCTATTTCATCGGCGTTCATATCCTCAGAGTTGATCAGTTTCTTCTGAATCGGCACCAAAGTTAGCGTCTCCATTTCCAGCAAATGT